TGCAGGATCACGTTTATATACGCACAGGGGCCGCCTTGTAGCAGTATATGTACTGCGGGCGGTCCCCTAGTGGTTAAAGTTACCTTTATATTCCTTCACCGCTTAAAGACAAAGTCAATGTTTTCTTCATGTGACCTGTAAGCTTTGTGATTTACTAGCATTTGCTACAGATTCTTTTATTCTACAGGAAGAAGGAAGAAATGATATCTCAAGCTTTCTATATGAGCACAGTGGCTAAGTGGTTAGCACCTCTGCCAGCATGTCCTACTCTCCAATGACATGCTGGCAGGTTAATTGGCTCCTGTCTAAATTGGCCCTAGTATGTATATGTATGAATGTAAGTTAGGGACCTTACATTGTAAGCTCCTGGAGGGCAGTGACTGATGTGAATGTACAATATACTGTATGTAAGTAAAGTGCTGCGTAAATTGAGAGCGCTATATAAGTAAGTACCTGTAATAAAATAAAAATAAATGAGCTATCAGATCGTAGCTATTAGCTGGTCTCATGAAAACTGCTGAGCAGTTATCATGGAATTGTGCAATGAATAGAACTCTTTAGGCAATCTGGTTATTTCTAGAAGAAATAAGAAAGTACACCTTGGGAAAATCATTGTTTAGATTACTTAGTCCTTAGAATATTTTATGAATATTTTAATATGATTTGAAGCATATTTCCCACATTACTAGTGTCTTTTGAAGTGGTACACTGGACCTGTAGTGAAAAACACTTCACTGCCTTGCCAATCATTGTATAAATTATACAGTCCTTAGAATATTTGATGAATAATTTAATTATGATTTGACACATATTTCCCACATTACTAGTGTCTTTTGAAGTGGTACACTGGACCTGTAGTGAAAAAACACTTCACTGGCACAAAATTAAAAGTCATACACAAATGCCAGAAGTCTGGTTAATTAAATGGAAGAACTAGAACTTCTGCTGCATGTTAAGGATTTTGACTTTGTGTGAATGTAAGAAACCTGGTTTGACAGCTAACATGATTGCCTTGCAACTGTCCAGGTGTACTTCCTAGATGGTAGAGGCAAGGTAGGTAGAAGAGGGGGAGGGTTGTGCCTGAATTTCAAGAGCGATTTGATGTTGACTATGAGGGATGACATTGCAAGTGGAGCTAGTGAAGAGGTGGAGAGCTTGTGGCTGGAGCTTCAAAGAAAATGGTAAAATAATTGTGCAGTTATGCTATTGGCCCCCCAACCTTACACCCATAAAGGCTGTAAAAGCAATAATTTTTCCTTCTCTATGGCTGCATTCTTGCAGCCATTGAGAAATACTGTGAGAGCTGTGATTGGTCACAGCTTGTCACATGGTACAAGGCTGCTGTGAATAGCCTTGTACCATGTGACCTCTGTGCTCATTCACAGATTTCACACATAGTAAGCAATGATGTCAGGAAGTGACATCTTGCTTACTACTATTCATGTGATCACTGATTGGCCAATCAGTGATCACATGATCGGGACCTCACACAGAGGTCCTGTACAGCGATCGGTGGACGGAGGACACAGCAGGCACCGATCGTGGTGCCGTGCACTCCCAGGTGGCATGCACAGGCAATGGATGTGGGGGAACGTTTAGAAACATTCACCCACATTGGCAGTGCTCCCGTCCCGCCGTTTATGTACATGGGCCAGACGGGAAGTGGTTAAGCATAAGGAGGATACCCATCTTTCTTCATAGTTAGAGATGGTGGGAAAGCAGGGAAATGTTATAATCATGGCAGACTTCAATTATTCTGATTAGTGATGGGCCGAACACCCTGTTCGGTTCGCAGTCGTACATTCGAACCTAACGAAATTTCAAATGCGAGGGGACAATTCACTAAGCAGTATCTTACTGCATCTGAGTATGCAGTAAGATATCACACAGCTACTAAAATACAACATGAGTTATATTATTAAGTCATGCAGTATTTTAGTAGTGAAAACATTCTAAATGTTTCGGCTGTCAGCGGGGTTCCCCACTGACAGCTGAATGTGAAAAGAATTGCCGACATTGCCTGGGAAAAGAAAAAAAAAAAACAAGTGCCCCCCCCCCCCCCTCCATACCAAGCCCAAAATAAAAAAAAAAAGATCCATACCAGACCCTTATCTGAGCATGCAGCCTGGCAGGTCAGGAAAAGGGGGAGGCGAGCAAGAGCCTCCCCTGAACCATACTAAGCCACATGCCTTCAACATGGGGTATGATTTGGGGCAGCCTCTCCCCTCCAAAGCACCTTGTCCCCATGTTGATGGGGACAAGGACCTCTTCGCCACAACCGTGGCCGGTGATTGTGGGGGCCTGTGGGCAGGGGGCTTATTGGAATTTGGAAGCCCCCTTTTACAAGGAAGCCCCCAGATCCCGGCCCCCCGTATGTGAATGAGTATGGGGTACATTGCACCGCCACTCATTTACAAAAATAAAGTGTGGTGTAAAAAATGACAGAAGACAGTCCTTTATTAAAAACATAAATAAAAAAAAGTCCCCCGAAGTAGATCCAACATCAATCACGATGCACGCCGCCACCGCTGACCCGAGAAAAAAAACAAAAACCAAAATGCTCCGCTCTTAATGCTTGCTCCCACCGTTTGAAAGCTGCACCAGGATGACAGTTCTTAAATACTGTGATGACATCACAAGGGGGTGTCCCTTGTGACATCATCATGTGCTGTGATTGGCGAAAGCATTTCACCTGACCTGTGGTCAGGTGCATTGCTTTGGCCAATCACAATGCAGAGGCAGTGCACAGTGCATTGTGGGGCACGGCAGGCTAACAGCCCGCCGAGCGCCTACTGTTACTGTTCGTGTGTTCTACGAACATGCAAACAGCCGATGTTCGAGTTGAACTTACGTTCGACTTGAACATCAAGCCCAACACTAAACCTGATATTGATTGGGCGGATAGAACTACACACTCATCTAAGGCATATTGTTTCATGAACATGATGCAATTGGAAGAAGCCTCAACTAGAAAAAATGTCCTGCTGGACCTATTCATTTCAAACACAGAGCTGATTGCAGATGTGGAGGTAAAGGAGAACTTCAAATATTACTAAACTCAGGACCCTGCATCCACTATATCTGGTCTCCCACAGTACACAGAACATGGAAATGCAATTATTTTAGTAAATATAAACTGCTAAATACTTTTTTTCATCAGCAGTTAGAGCAGTCTTGTGACTTCTATCAGTGTCCAACCCGGCACTACCTAAAGCTTGTAGGAGGAATTTTCATTCTCCTCTCACTGCAGTATGAGATTGCATAACCCTTGACCCTCTGATCAGAAAGGGCTGATTGGCCCTGTGCTGATCACATGCACCCTCCCAAGAAAAAGAAAAAACTCTCTAGCAGTACACACCAAAGTGAGCCTATGCAGAGTTTCCCTGAGGCTCTGTTTTATCAGAAGATGAAATGGGGAACGTGGAAGAAAGGAAGGATCAGAGAAGACAGGATCAAAAATTTTTTTTACACAATGCAGAGGATTAATCCCGTAAGTTCTACAGTGAGTATAACAAGCATGCTTTACTGCATATACAGACTGATTTTACTGTTGTGGGTTTACTAACACTTTAAGAAAAAGTGATCATGGAGTAATTACATTTCTCTTAAATTATAGGAAAATGAGACATGGGCGAAGGATAACAACAATACATTTCTAAAGAGCTACCTTTACTAAACTGTGCTCCATACTACATAACACTAAATGGGATAACATTCTTGAAACAAAGTGCACTGAAAAGAGGTGTGAGTGTTTTAAGGACATATTAAACAATGACATTTGTTGGTGCATTCCAATGGGCAACAGATATAAAAGACCAAATGTCAATCCTGGGAAGCTAAATGCTAATGTAATAAGGCATAAGAAAAAAAAATGTCCTTTAACAAATATAGGATCGAAGGGTCAGCATCAGCATTCCAAAACTATGAAGGTTGCGATAAGAAATGCAAGAGAGTGATCAGGACAGCTAAATGGATTATGAGAGACACATTGCTGAGGAAAGTAAAAAAAAATACCAAAAAAGTTTTTCAAATATATCAATAGTAAAAGGCAACGTCAAAACATATTGGCCCCATAAAAGATAACCAGGGGAAGTTGGTCAGTAATAACAGAAAGGCAACTATAATAAATACTGTCAGGGCTCCAGGGTATGACCAGAGGTATGTGACTGACGCAGGGAAAACGCAGGCTTCAGATATGTTATAAATATAATTTATTAACACTAACAATACATAAACGCAGTGCAATACTAAAACATACACAGTGCAAACGAACCAAACCACCCACAGATAACAGTACATACAATGCAAGCGTCGTCAGGCAGGCCGGGATTATCAACAGGAGGTCAGAACGTATGGGGTAAAGCAGGGAGAATGGTCAGACAAAGCCAGGGATCAGGAGCAGGAGAATGGTCAGACAAAGCCAGGGATCAGGAGCAGGAGAATGGTCAGACAAAGCCAGGGATCAGGAGCAGGAGAATGGTCAGACAAAGCCAGGGATCAGGAGCAGGAGAATGGTCAGACAAAGCCAGGGATCAGAGCAGGGTCAGCAACGAATAATACAGGAACAGGGAGCAGGAACAGGATACAGGGCCCCAGGAGAAACACACACCAAGGCAGAGTCTGCAGGTCTGGCCATCCCTTAAATACACCAGTATAATCAGTTCCAGGTGTTTGGCTGGCTGCAAGGTTGAGTCTCTGATTGCTGGGAGCACCCGCTGGCCAGCCCTGGTACTGCAGCCCATAAGGCAGGTGAGTCCCACCATTGCTGGCCAGTCCATTCCTGACAGTACCCCCCCCTCAAGGAGCGGCCTAAGGACGCTCCAAACAGTCCTAGCTGGGCAAAATGTTCCACTGCCCGGGTCTGGTAACTGGCGGGATATCAAAGACTGGCACACCGGGCAGGACTCCGGGCAGCGGCACACCGGGCAGGACTCCGGGCAGCGGCACACCGGGCAGAGGCACATCGGGCAGAGGCACACCGGGCAGAGGCACATCGGGCTGGACTCCGGGCAGAGGCACATCGGGCTGGACTCTGGGCAGAGGCACATTGGGCAGGACTCCGGGCACAGCGGGCACACCGGGCAGGGGCACACTGGGCAGAGGCACATCGGGCAGAGGCACACCGGGCAGAGGCACACTGGGCAGAGGCACTCTGGGCAGAGGCACATCGGGCTGGACTTCGGGCAGAGGCACATCGGGCTGGACTCCGGGCAGAGGCACATCGGGCTGGACTCCGGGCAGAGGCACATCGGGCTGGACTCCGGGCAGAGGCACATCGGGCTGGACTCCGAGCAGAGGCACATCGGGCTGGACTCCGAGCAGAGGCACATCGGGCTGGACTCCGGGCAGAGGCACATCGGGCGGAGCAGCAGGCACCGGGCCACCAAGCGGAGCGGCAGGCACCGGGCCACCAGGCGGAGCAGCAGGCACCGGGCACCAGGCGGGGCGACAGGCACCGGGCCCCCAGGCGGGGCGACAGGCACCGGGCCCTCAGGCGGGGCGACAGGCACCGGGCCCCCAGGCGGGGCGGCAGGCACCAAGTCACCAGGCACGACAGTGGGCTCCGAGTCAACTGGCATGACCGCTGGCACTGGGTCAGACATTGGATCATCTGGCTGAACAGCGGGCATTGGGTCACCAGGAATCAGGTCATTTGGCTCGACAGCGGGCACCGCGTCATCTGGCAAGACAGTGGGCACCAAGTCACCAGGCACGACAGTGGGCTCTGAGTCAATTGGCACGACAGCGGGCACCGGGTCATCAGGTACCGGATTGTCTGGCTCGACAGCGGGCATCGGGTCACCAGGTATGACAGCGGGCACTGGGTCACCAGGCATCGGGTCATTTGGCTTGCCAGCGGGCACCGCGTCATCTGGCAAGGCAGTGGGCACCGGGTCACCAGGCATTGGATCGTCTGGCTCGACAGCGGGCATCGGGTCACCAGGTATGACAGCGGGCACTGGATCACCAGGCATCAGGTCATTTGGCTTGCCAGCGGGCACCGCGTCATCTGGCAAGGCAGTGGGCACCGAGTCACCAGGTACGACAGCGGGCTCTGAGTCAATTGGCACGACAGCGGGCACCGGATCAGGTACCGGATCATCTGGATCAACAGCGGGCATCAAGTCAACTGGCCTAATAGGATCATCAGGCTGGATCAGTTCATCATGCTGGGTAGAGGCATCAGGCTGAGTGGAGGCATCAGGCTGAGTAGAGGCATCAGGCTGAAGAGAGGCATCAGGCTGAAGAGAGGCATCAGGCTGAATAGAAGCATCAGGCTAGAGGTACAGGCATCAGGCTGGGTACAGGCATCAGGCTGGGTACAGGCATCAGGCTGGGTACAGGCATCAGGCTGGGTACAGACCTCAGGCTGAAGTGCGGGTGACGAGGCACCAGGCTGAACCACGGAAGGCAGGTTCTCAGACGGCAGGCTCACCGGTTTGGATACTGGCAGGATGGTATTGGTTGGAAAGAATTTTCGCTTTTTTCTGGTTTTAACTACTGGAGCACTGCAAGTAAACGCAGGTCTGCAAACGAATGGAGCAGCTGGAGACAGAGAAGAGCTGGAGGATGGAACAGGGGAGGGAACAGTTGCTACAGAGGGCTTTTTTACAGGGTTAAAGGCAGGATAGGTGCAGCGAGTGGGAACAGGGTACTGACATGCGGTAGATAGCAGGGCAGGAGGAGCTGTTGGGAATGCAGGAATAGAGCTTTGAGGAAATAGATTAGAAGCAGGACTGGGTTTTTGTAGGCTGACTGAGGCTGGGTGCAACAAATCTGTCCATGTCTGCAGTATGGGTTGAGCAAAGCTGAGCTTACACAAAAGCCTGTCTGACCAAAGACTGCACTGCGTTTATACAATCTCTTAGTATCTGTGGTGAACATGCAGCATAATGCTCCAAGAAGCAATCCACATCATCCTCTAATAACCATACCAGGGACTCTACCTGGTCGGCACTAAATGGCGGCAAAAATTCATCCCTGCATTCGGGGGGGTACCAGATGAAACCAACTCCGCACAAATCTGAATCAATGGCTGCACCTCAGAGAATTCTGTGCCCTGATCTACTAGAACATGAGCGAGCCGTATACATTCTAGCAGTTCATCCTGGGGATACTCCTTCAGAGTTTGATAAGCATACTCTCTGTCATCAAACACTAGCAGATATAAATACACAACCTCATCAAGATCCATCCTTCCCATCAACAAAGCCAAGATGGCTTCCCTGTGCAGCCACTTCTGGTCAGGATTGGCCTTGGTGTAATGTCAGGGCTCCAGGGTATGACCAGAGGTATGTGACTGACGCAGGGAAACGCAGGCTTCAGATATGTTATAAATATAATTTATTAACACTAACAATACATAAACGCAGTGCAATACTAAAACATACACAGTGCAAACGAACCAAACCAAACCACCCACAGATAACAGTACATACAATGCAAGCGTCGCCAGGCAGGCCGGGATTATCAACAGGAGGTCAGAACGTATGGGGTAAAGCAGGAGAATGGTCAGACAAAGCCAGGGATCAGGAGCAGGAGAATGGTCAGACAAAGCCAGGGATCAGGAGCAGGAGAATGGTCAGACAAAGCCAGGGATCAGGAGCAGGAGAATGGTCAGACAAAGCCAGGGATCAGGAGCAGGAGAATGGTCAGACAAAGCCAGGGATCAGGAGCAGGAGAATGGTCAGACAAAGCCAGGGATCAGGAGCAGGAGAATGGTCAGACAAAGCCAGGGATCAGAGCAGGGTCAGCAACGAATAATACAGGAACAGGGAGCAGGAACAGGATACAGGGCCCAGGAGAAACACACACCAAGGCAGAGTCTGCAGGTCTGGCCATCCCTTAAATACACCAGTATAATCAGTTCCAGGTGTTTGGCTGGCTGCAAGGTTGAGTCTCTGATTGCTGGGAGCACCCGCTGGCCAGCCCTGGTACTGCAGCCCATAAGGCAGGTGAGTCCCACCATTGCTGGCCAGTCCATTCCTGACAAATACATTCTTCTCCACATAAATTAAATTTGGAGGAGAACTTTCCTCCCTTTCCTCATACAATGGGGTAAACTAGTTATGGAACCCTTGGCAGTAGCATTTAGACAGTCAGATAAGGTAGTTGTGATCCGAGTAGGCTTGGAAATAGAAAAACTAGCATTATACATTGACAACATAATTCTATTTCTTCATAAACCTGGGCCATCGGTTACTAAGGCTGTTAGAAACCTTTCCCACTTTGCAACATTCTCAGGCCTATGATCAAATTGGAAAGAATCCCTAATTATGCCCATTAACCCGGGATAGCAGACCCAATCCTTCCTCTGATTTAGACAAATTCTTTGAGCTACCTTGGTGTAGCCAGATGCCGGCTATATAATTATGCAATTCAAGGACATTTACAGATGAGACTATGATTTATCTTTTTATCCTTGGTGCCCAGTGTCCTCTATCATCACTCTGGAGACATTGCATGCAGACACCTTTACACCTCAAGTTGCACCTCGAGCAGTACCACATCTTATCTGTTTAACTTAAATCTTATCTGTTTAACTTCATTGAATTACCAGTATCTACTAATGCTTATGGGCCCCACCATTGCTAGCAGAAAATAGCAGATACCACCATATCAGGAACTTTAAAACAGCACTCAAGTTGCAGCCTCTAGTTAAAGAAACATTTTCCCTTCTAAAGCCATTGTTATTCACCTTAGGGTACTTGTATCTATTTATGCCAGAGTACACATTTGCATAATTCTCTGCATGCCCCCTTGCAGTGCAGGTGGCATGGAGGGAGCTGATAAGTCAGAGGTGTCAGGAGGCTTGCAAGGTCAGGGCAATCACTGGGGACAAGCATTATCAAGTGGCCCCTGAGGGGGTAGCACTACATTGGTATCACCATTTCTCCTGCCATCACTGATTTTTGCAAATTGGATTTACATCCTACGCTGCATTTTATAAGACAGAGACTGAAAGCATGGGATAACTTACCTACAGTTCGGACACAATTTTAATTTTGTTCAGGTATTTACCATTTAACATATTCAAGCTATAGTTATATAATGGATATGGGCCGAAAGTGCACATTCGCAGGTTTAATTTGAGGGTATGTACATCCAAATTGGAGGAAGGGTTTAGGAATTACAGATCTTAAGAGCAGCCATCCCGCCTTTTTTCAAGGGAACAAAAGTAATTGGACAATTGAATCAAAAGTTTTTTCATGGCCAGGTTTGGGCTACTCCTTCATTATTTCTTCATCAATTAAGCAGGTAAAAGTTCTGGAGTTGATTCCAAGTATGGTATTTGCATTTGGAATCCATTGCTGTGAACCTACATCATGCGTTCAACGGAGCTGTCCATGCAAGTGAACCAGACCATTGTAAGGCTTCAAAAACAAAACAAATCCATCAGGGAGATAGCAGCAACATTAGGAGTGGCCAAATCAACAGTTTGGTACATCCTGAGGAAAGAACGCACTGAGCTCAGCAACATAAAAAGGCATGGATGTCCACAGAAGACAACAGTGGTGGATGATTGCAGGATCCTCTCTATGGGAAATAAAAACCCATTCACAATATCCAGACAAGTTAAGGACACTCTCCAGGAGGTGGGGGTATCATTGTCAAAGTCTACAATCAAGAGAAGACTTCACGAAAGCAAATACAGAGGGTTCACCACAAGGTGCAAACCATCCATAAGCCTGAAGAATAGAAAAGCCAGATTACACTTTGCCAAAAAAATCTAAAAAAGCCAGACCAATTCTGGAAAAGCATTCTTTGGACGGAGGATTCAAAGCACACAATGTCATCTGTAAAACATGGTGGAGGCAGTATGATGGCATGGGCATGCAAGGCTTCCACTGGCACTGGGTCATTGGTGTTTATTGATGATGTGACAGAAGACAGGAGCAGCCGATTAATTCTGCAGTGTATAGAGATATATTGTCAGCCTAGATTCAGCCAAATGCAGCAAAGTTGATTGGACGGGACTTCACAGTACAGATGGACAATGATCCAAAACACACTGCAAAAGCAACCTAGGAGCTTATGAAGGAAAAGAAGTGGAATATTCTGCAATGGCCAAGTCAGTCACCTGATCTCAACCCAATTGAGCATGCATTTCACTTGCTGAAGGCAAAACTAAAGGTAGAAAGACCCCCAATCAAAGAACAACTGAAGACAGTTGCAGTTAGAGCCTGGCAAAGCATCAGAAATGGGGAAACCCAGTCTTTGGTAATGTCCATGGGTTCCAGACTTCAGGCAGTCATTGCCAGTAAAGGATTCTCAACAAAATATTAAAAATTAACATTTTATTTATGATTATGTTCATTTGTCCCAATTACATTTGAGCCCCTGAAAATGGAGGGACTGTGTATAAAATGGTTGCAGTTCCTAAAATTTGTACTTGATATTTATGTTCAACCCCTTGAATTAAAGCTGAAAGTCTGCACTTCAAATTCATTTGGATCATTTTGTTTTAATTTATTCTAGTGGCATACAGAGCCAAAAGTATGAAAATTGTGCCTGTGTTCAAATATACTGTATATGGACATAACTGTATATGTATTGTACATTCACATCAGTCCCTGACCCTCAACAAGAAGCGTTCTAAGGTTCTTAACTCACATTCATACATATACATACTAGGGCCAATTTAGACAGGAGCCAAACCCACACAGGCACAGACATTCTTTAAACAATTCAACTGTATAGTATCATCATTTGTTTGGAGATCTCATCCCCCAGATTCAGTAGGATGATTCTCTGTAGGTCTTGGACCCAAGGGGGGCTTTGCTTGTCCAGATATTTATACATATTTTTGCCAGTCCAACTTACATATGAATATAACTTTATAATATCAGATGATTCCAATGCCTCTGTAGTGTTTGAGGCTGCGTACTTGGGCCAATATGAAAT